CTGTAAGCCTTGCTTACAGTATCGCAATATATCGGGATGTATCGTGACCCCTCTGTCATGATATGTATCGTATCGCCAAATTCTTGCCAATACACAGCCCTATACATCAGCACTACAACTGGCAATTTATCTTTATAATATACCACCATCATAAGATAAATTAGTGTTTGTTCTGTTTTGTCTCCCGTGACACACCGATATTAACTGTAACCAAACAAGTAACACCAACCTTGTGCTTCAATAATTAATCTGCCCGCTGGATAAATTATTGAAAAAAGCCCGGTAGGAAATATATAAATATTTATCAGGGCTCTTTGAGTTCGACCAATCAGAGAACGAGATCCAGCGCTCCTGCCGAGCTTCAGCCAATCAGAGCAGCTCTTCCTCCATTTCCTGTTGTGGACTTCTTCGGAGTCAGACGGGAATCCTCCGGGTTCAGAAAATGAATTAAATGCCGATGCGTGAATGAATGACTTCGTTTTATTTTATTTTCCCCCAGAAGTGTTGCTCATTACCGAGCTGCGTGCGTGAGTAAAGGTTTTTGTTTCGTACATTTCTCTGTGTATTAGGCCTGCTCCCTGAAGATGTAAATAGCTTATTTTTAGCGGACTTATTTGCGGCATGTTTAAGCTTTTTTGTGCAGCAATGCAGTAGAGAAAAGGATATATCCCCCCCCCCCCCCTCGTTTGTTTTTACAGAGTGGTTCTGAGTTTGTCCTAGAATGGGCCGGAGAGATGCAGGTGAGGTATCGGCTGTTGCACCTGATGTCGTGACGCGTCTTTCCCCTTGACAACTACGGATAAATATTCAGGTAGGTAGTTGTGTTGGTGACACTACTCATTAATGCCATGCAGGCTTCATGTTAGCGCAAAACTGTTTTAAATAGAGAAATACCTCGTAAGAAAACAGTATCACTGTTTAGACTACATTAAAACCCTTCACCAGCTAGCTTTGCTTAATTTAGCTCATTATCAGTTTTGTAATTACAGGATTAAATTACAGCATTAAAATGTGTAAATAATAAATACAAATAATAATAAATCCGAAGGCTCGTCGTGTTTATAAAGGTTAGCTTTGCTATGGAGTGCTCGTTCGGATTAGTTGCAGTCTTCTTCTTCTTCTTCTTCTTCTCCTTGGTCTTCTTCTTCTTCTGTCGGATTTATGGTGGTTGGCAGCAAACTGTTAGTAGCATTACCGCCACTTACTGGTATGGAGTGTGGCTAGTGATGGTTTAAATCAGGGGTGCCCAAACATTTTCCCCGAAGGGGCCAAAATGAAAATCTATCCATGGCTGCGGGCCAAATGCAGTTATACATGAAATACAAATACCTTTTTTAAGTAAAGTCATTTATTTTTAACAATTAAGGGCTCGACACACGGGCAGCGACAAACTACAGCGATTAGCGGCTGTCATCACAGCCAGGGTGAAACCCGACACACAGGACGCGATAGCGATCGCAGCGTTGCGAATCGCGCTCTCAGGTCGCTTCTCTTCACAAAATTTGATTGGTTCTTGACTCTGAAGGCGGGTGTGCATTACGGACGTGTAAACTAAACAAATCTTGCGATGCTAATGATTTTGAAAAACAAACACACATCAAGATACAGTTTTATGAGGAAAAACTTACCATAAACTTCACCCTGGTGCCAATAAA